CACTTGCCAATTAAGATGCACAAATATGTATATAATGATGATTTCCTTGAAAGAGAAACGCATTTTCCATCCCATGGCTGTGACAATGAAGAAACAGTTGCAATGGAAAATGCAGCGACGGTCAGCAAAGACCGCTGAGCTGTACGAAGGATTTGTGTGTACGCCTATTTATGTACATATATACACTCTTATATACATACATACATACTATTTCTAATTAAACCATACTCATTGGCATTCAAACAAATTTGTTCATGTATGTAGGTATGTATGTATTTACGTATGAACTATGTATGCTGAACTAAACAAATTATTTCTCAATTATTTGTTGATAAATTTTAAGTATGTATATGGATCAGTTTTCAGTGATATTAATATATTATACCAGGCGGCCGCTGTGGTGTAGTGTTTAGCAGTGTGCGCTACCGCAGGGCCTGGGTTCAGGCTTGGTTTTCGACCAACATAAAAAAATAAAAATCAAAAAAGTTCTTTCTTATTGCGGACGCCCCTCGGCAGGCAATGGCGAACCTCCGGGTGTATTTTTGCCATGAAAAAACTTCTCATAAAAATCCACTTGCAGTTCGGAGTTACGGTTGCCAGACGTACTGATTTTATCAGTACAGTACTGATTTTTCAACTCTTGCACTGATTTTATTCATTTCTACAGTATTTTCTTAAGGTTTTTACATAACGTTGGAACTTGCTTAAACTACACTGTAAAAAGTAAGAAGAAAATAATTTAATTATAGTTGACATGTTTCAAATAATATTTGATATGTCCAAGAAAATAATACAACAAAAAGACCAATCGTTTTATGAGCACATCGCCGTGTCGTTACGTACCAGTTGCGATAATATGATGGAGCTTAAATTATTTAAAAAGAAGGATGACGTTTTTTGTCGAGTGTTGTTAGTTATCTCGAAAATATTTTTCAGTTTAATAACTGCAAATTTTAATATTCGAATGGCTTTTGCCTATAACTTTCAATTCTTTTTTCAAAATTGACTGTCATTGTAAAAGAGCTTTGCACACAAGACATAGTGCTAGATATTCTTTTTAGCGAATTATTAGTCATTCAAAGTTTTTGCGAAGTTGAAAAAATTAATTTCAGCCATAAGAAAATATACATAGATGCATTCCTTAGATAGTGGTACTTTTCCACAGTTTCAAAAACCATGTAATTTTGTTTTTTGTCAATACCACACTCAAACGAAACAACCGAGAGGATCTTAAGTATAAAATTTGCTTCCTGACGCAAATAGAGAAACCGGCTTCTAATTAAAATTTTTTAAAGTGAACTTCAAATTAAAAGTAACTTTAAAATGAAATGTATAGAATTTTTTGACTATTTAAACACTGAAGATTGAACCATCTCATTATCGCTATTCAAATACGTCATAAATATAAAATAATTTATGGTTTCTGGGTACAATGATGTGTACACTCATGTTAAAATGAATAAAACTTTTATTTCTTATACACTATATTTTATTGATACCACAATATTGTTAAAAACAAGTAGTCTGGCGTTTTAAAGCATTATCTCTTACTTACATTCATAATTTTGCTTTATAAAAAATTTTACTGAAAAGTACTGATTTTTTTAGCATCAAAAAGTCAAATGTACTGATTTCGTGATTCAAAATCTGGCAACCCTATTCGGAGTCGGCGTAAAAACTGTAGGCAAATCTGGTAATCAATGTTTGACCAACTTTCCGATGACCTAGAGATTTCACAGTTGGCTCAGAACCCGATGATAATGCAATAGGAAAGATGAGCTAATCCGAGAGGTGGCGCAGAAGTCGAGATACTTGAAAAACCTGTACTTATAGTCCCATTTGGTTCATATTTAGAATGTATATTAATTACATGAAAAGGAATAACCCCACAAAAATTTTTTCCGATAGGTGCCGCAGGAGTCTATATATTTGGTAAATCAATATTTATGGCCCGATCTCGTACATATTAAAAAAGCTTGATTTAAAAATATTTGTTTTTACTATTAACTTATTCTAGTTGCAAAGGAAATTGGCCAACAAACAGTGAAACTTTTGTTTATTAGAATATATTGCATCAGCTTTGAGGGGTATTATGAAAATGCGCACGTAAAAATTAATTCACTCCAACTTGACTACACTGTACTTATTCTTCCCGTTTTGGGCATTAAGTAAATTGGAATGTTCGCTGTCTAAAACCGAAAGCTGTGCAAGCGATGGAAACTAATAAACAAAGAAATCCACAATGCGGCAAGTGCCGTCGAATCGTCAGGGCGCGCCGCTTTATTACTCACTGCTATCGCCCCTGCAACTTGCCCGGCCACTTGCTCTTTCGAATGCGCCCTTCTCCTGCCGCGCTTCGTACTCTGTCGTCACTTCGTTGCTGGCTGGCCATGGCAGTGACGCTGGCACCCAATAAGCTATTCTTATGCACTAACGCTTTGCACTCAAGAAAGTTTCGCTTGCTTTTGGCTTAGGCAACACGTCTTCGGC